ATGCTGTTTCACATGAGCCATACCGCTAATTTCCTGAGTGTTGTACTGGGAAAATTCTGCATCAACTATATCAGGATTTTGACTCTGGCTTGCTTTCGCACTGAACTCATTCTTTTCTAATTTTTGTTAATTAATTAAAAGAATAGTAATAACTGATCACATTGATTTATGAGTCTACTCAGGCTTCAGCAGAGCTCAGTAACACTGAGATTAATAACTGATCACATTGATTTATCAGTCTACTCAGGCTTTTGTAGGAACTTCTGTGTTTGTAAAGAGGCCTCTTTAAAATTCATGTTTGCTGATTCTAAAATAGTTCAGAAACAAGCATTGATGATGTTTTTCGAATATTATATGTACTTTCTTATTTATTTAGTGGGTAGATATTCTACAAATATTCTTCTAAAAATGTAAAAAGTAACTATTATAAATGCTGCCTTTACAAAATGTAACTTGGACTAAATATAGATACTTATTTACTGTATTTTGAATACATATTCCCAATACTTATATTCTGTTACCTCCCAAACCTGGAGATACATTGATGCTTCTTTTATTAAAACAGACTGGTTGAAAATGAAACAACTGTTAACAGGCTATCGTTACAGTCCATAGTCACTTGTTCACTCACTGGAGGGACCTGCACCACTGCATTGTCAACTGCATAGTATTTATGTACTGCACATTATTTTTATTGTTTTATTATACCATAGTTAGTTCTAGGCACGCAAGCTGATTGGTTGAGAAGTGTTCTTACCGTGTTGTTATTTCGCCATAATGTCACAGGTTTTTCACAAACACTGTATCACTCCGCTGAGACGCTGTTGCTAAGCAAAGACTCTGACAGCTGTAGGAGACGCTCAAGACATTTGAAGATTTTCACTTCTTACTTTGCCACAAACAGAAAATGGACACTTTTAAGATCACATTTGACCGATAGCCGATTTGGTCAGACTCTGAAGATGAGACGACACTAAATTCCCAAACTGTCATCACCACTGAGCAGCTTTTCAGTCGGCAGCTGTGACAGAAGAACAGCTGAACAACCTGGAATCAGCCAGAAATGAACCCAACACCATTCGCCAAACTAAACGGGCTGTAAGATGCTTTACAGACTGGCTGGAACAAAACAACATTAATACTGATCTGGAAAAAATTGACAAAACTGAGCTGAACTTGATATTGTGGCAGTTTTATGGCTCAGTCTGTACTTCAAAGGGCGGGGCTTACAGCAGACTGTGCAGCGAGTGGGCGGAGCTCGTTACTCTGACGTAGCAAAGAGCTGCTTGTTAAGGAACTATAATTTGGTGAAGGAACTGCGAACATTAAAACATATTAAACGCCGCGTTCACGGCCCAGTTTATTAATTTATTACTGTATTTATTTAACTGTTGTATTAAAGCAGTAGAACACTCGAGGAGTGTGTTATCGCCAATAACATCACAGCTGTGATGATCTACGGCGACCAAATCACAGCCGTGTTGTTATTTCACGATAACACACTCCCTCTGTGTTCTACTGCTTATGTATATTTTATTATTTATCTTTACTTTCTATTTATGCATCTGTAAATAGTGTACAGTAATACTTTGCTCCTGTTCATTTTGCTCTTGTTGTGCTCTTTACTGTGCTTTACAAAGTACAATAAAGAGCAAAACAAGATTCTACTATCTATCTCTACGACTCTATCTGTCTATCTGTCTGTCTGTCTGCCTATCTTTCCATCTGTCTGTCTGTCTGCCTGTCTATCTATCCATCTATCTATCTGTCTGTCTGTCTACCTGTCTGTCTGCCTGTCTGTCTGTCTGTCTGTCTGTCTATCTATCTATTTAAAGTTTTTTATTGTACAGTCAGCTATATTTGTTCAGGATCAGTACCCAGTTAATGCACATTACAGCACGCTGACCACACAGACTGTAGCACCTACCCAGCTGCATCAGATTAAAAGAGAGAGAAAGAGAGAGAGAGAGAGAGAGGGGCCAAAGGTCATGAAAGCCCTGAATGCCCTGTTAGCTGAGCTGCAGGGTTCGGAGTCATATTACTGTCCTCAGTGTCCACTCAGCAAAGGCCAACACCAAACACGCTCTCACCGCGGTGCTTTTTTCTGCCCCGCTCTTTGATGCTGTGCAGTGGTTAGTTCTCAGTCTCACCTGTGTGGAGGGGAGATATTAACTCGCTCTGCCTCTCTCTCTTTTTTTCTACTTCTTTTTTCCATTCCCCTTCATCTTCTACCAAACATCCTGCTCTCACCGGACCTGCAGCGCGAGAAACATGTTCCATTTGATCAGGGACCCTTGTTTATGGAAAAAAATAAGATTGTTGCTGTTGTTCCGGTTTGTTGCTATTTTCTGTGAATGATATAGGGGCCCATGTGCAACAGTGCTTTCCCTTTCGCTTCGCTTCCTGTCCTTTTTAAAGATAAAGGGTATCTCTGCCTTCTGAAAATGACAATATTCAATTTCACAGTGCATTTTGTACGCAGAATTGTGTCTCCTGTAACTGAGTCTCTATTGAAACAAACAAACAAAAATAAACAGGAAGTCACGCAGTGTTGAGCAGTTGTTAAGGTTTGGCTTCTGCATTTCATTTCCATGCTTAAAGGGTTCTTTTCATGGTGAAATGGTTCTTCAGAGTGATGGAGAATGTGTCGTATATGGTTCTGTATAGCACTAAAAGGGTTGTTCTGTTGTTACATTGGTGCTACATAGAAACATTTTCAAAAAAGGTCTGTATAGAACCATAAACAACACCTTCTCCGTCAATCTGAAGGACTGTTTCATGATGCAAGCAACCGTTTAAGCGTGCAAATGGCTCTTGGGGTGTTCATGGCTCTATATAGAACCAGCGTTTTAACTAAAGAACCCCTGAAGAACCATCTTTTTTAACATTCTCCAAGGTTCTTTGCATTTTGTACACAAAATTGTCTCCTGTAACTAAATCTCTATATAAAACAAACAAAATTAAGCAGAAAGTCACACACAGTGTTCAGCAGTTATAACGTTTGGTTTCTGCATTTCATTTCCATGCTTATAGGGTTCTTTTCATGGTGAAATGGTTCTTCAGAGTGATGGAGAATGTGTCGTATATGGTTCTGTATAGCACCAAAAGGGTTGTTCTGTTGTTACATTGGTGCTACATAGAGACATTTTCAAAAAAGGTCTGTATAGAACCATAAACAACACATTCTCCATCAATCTGAAGGACTGTTTCACTTGCAAACAACCCTTTAAGCGTGCAGATGCTTCTTTGGCTCTATACAGAACCACTGTCTTTACTAAAGAACCGCTGAAGAACCATCTTTTTTAGTAGTCTCTTTTAGTAGTCTGGTTCATTGCATTTTATACACAAAATTGTCTCCTGTAACTACATGTCTATATAAAACAAAACAAACAGAAAGACACACACACTGTGTTGAGCAACTCTGCATTTGGTTTGCATGCTCAAATGGTTCTCTGCATGGTGAAATGGTTCTTCAGATTGATGGAGAATGTGTTGTTTATGGTTCTGTAAAGCACCTTCTATTGTTACATTGGTGCAATATAAAAACCTCTTTAATCTACAGATCTTCATTTCTACCTTTATTTATTATTATTATTATTATTATTATTATTATTATTATTATTTTCCTCTGCACTCTTAAAAATGTGCTTCTTCAAGGGTTCTTTACTAAAGACAATGGTTCTTTATAGAGCACTCATGCTTAAAGGGTTCTTTGCGTGGTGAAATGGTTCTTCAGATTGATTCTTCAGAGAATGTGTTGTAAGTGGTTCTATATAGCACCAAAAAGCGTCCTTCTACTGGTACAAGTTTGACTTCGTAACAATAGCAGAACCCATTTTTGTGCTATATAGAACCCTTTTCAGAAAGGTAGAACCATATTCAACACGTTCTCCGTTCATCTGAAGAACAGTTTCACCATGCAAAGAACTATTTGAGCATGCAAATGGTTCTTTGAGTGTTAATTGTTCTAAATAGAACCATTCCCTTTATTAAAGAACCTCGAAAAACTGTTCTGTATAGCACCAAAATGGGTTCTTCTATTGTTACTTTGGTGCTATATAGAAACCTTTTTTAATCTACAAATCTTTATTTCCACCTTTATTTTTTTTCCTCTGCACCCTTAAAAATATGCTTCAAAGGTTCTTTTAAAGACAGTGGTTCTCTATAGAGCACTCATGCTTAAAGGGTTCTTTGCATCATGCAGTGGATTGATAAAGAATGTGTTGTATATGGTTCTATATAGCACCTTTTTGAAAAGCGTTCTGTATAGCACCCATGTAACAATAGCAGAACCATTTTTGGTGCTACATAAAACCATATTCAGCACATTCTCCATCAATCCAAGGAACCATTTTATGATGCAAAGAACCCTTTTAAGAACGCAAATGCAAAAATAAACAAAGACACACACAGTGTTGAGCAGTCATTTTAATGCTAACGGGTTCTTCATTGATGGAGAGTGTATAATACATGGTTCTATATAGCACCAAAAAGGGTTCTTCTATTGTTACATTGGTGCAATATAGTAACCTTTTTAATCAGCAGATCTTTATTTCTACCTTTATTTTTTCCTCTGCAGTCTTAAAAATAGGGTTCTTCAAGAGTTCTTTAGTAAAGACAGTGGTTCTTTTTTAGAACCATGAACACTTATGCTTAAAGGGTTCTTTGCATCATGAAATGTTTCTCCAGATTGATGGAGAATGTGTCATGTATGGTTCCATGTAGCATCTTTTTGAAAAGAATTCTATTTAGCACCAATGTGACAAATGAAAACCCCTTTTGGTGCTATATATAACCATCTACAGCACATTCTCCATCAATCCGTTGAACCGTTTCATGATGCAAAGAACCCTTTAAGCATGCAAATGGTTCTTTGGGTGTTCATGGTTTATTGCATTGCATACACAGAGTTGACAAAAATAATCAGAAGGACACACACGTTGTGGATCAGCGGTGAAGTTTGGTCTCTGATCCCTTTCTCCTCTTTTTCCCCCCTTTAGTTCTGCCTCCTGCACGGCACTAGTCTGGTGTATCAGGAGCGAGCGTGGTACCTGGAACACAACTACTTCAGCCCTGGTGCCAGCAGGCAGATCCGCAGTCAGGTACACGTTCAGTCTAACCACCATTCACCTTCTGACACGGTAACCACAGAGTGCAGAGCTCAGAGCCAGAACCGACCCGGAGTGATCAGAATCAGAATCATATCAGAATCAGCAGATATTTGCTTCAACCCCTTAAAATCCCATACTCTTAAAAAAAGATGGTTCTTCAAGGGTTCTTTAGTAAAGACTATGGTTCTATACAGAACCATGAACCTCCTTGTTTCTATGCTCATTGTCCATTTTATCAGCTCCACTTACTATATAGGTGCACTTTGTAGTTCTACAGTTACAGACTGTAGTCCATCTGTTTCTCTGATACTTTGTTAGCCCCCTTTTACCCTGTTCTTCAGTGGTCAGGACCCCCATGGACCCTCACAGAGCAGGTACTATTTGGGTGGTGGGTCATTCTCAGCACTGCAGTAACACTGACATGGTGGTGGTGTGTTAGTGTGTGTTGTGCTGGTCTGAGTGGATCAGACACAGCAGTGCTGCTAGAGTTTTTAAACACTGTGTCCACTCACTGTCCACTCTGTTAGACACTCCTACCTTGTCAGTCCACCTTGTAGATGTGAAGTCAGAGACGATAGCTCATCTGCTGCTATATATCTGCTATATAGCTCCAAAAAGGGTTCTGCTGTTGTTATATTGGTGCTATATAGAAACCTTTTTAAAAATGCTCTATATAGAACCATGTACAACACATTCTCCATCAATCCGAATAAAAATTTCATGGAGAAAAGAACCCTTTAAGCATGAGTTTTCATGGTTCGATAAAGAACCACTGGCTTTACGAAAGAACCCTTGAAGAACCATATTTTTAAGAGTGCAGAGGAAAAAAATAAAGGTAGAAATAAAGATCTGTAGATAAAAAATAAACATATAAAATGTGGCCTGTGCAAAAGTTAAGGCACATATTATTATTTTTTTTTTTTTATCTACAGATCTTTATTTCTACCTTTATTTTTTTCCTGTGCACTCTTAAAAATAAAGATAGAAATAAAGATCTGTACATAAAAAATAAAGCTAAAAATAAAAATCTGCAGATAAAAAAATAAAAATATAAAATGTGGCCTGTTCAAAAGCATGTGTTAAGCATGTTTTCTGTATACGATATTTCAACTTATTTTATCTCAAAAATTCAGCAACAACATGAAATTTGACCAGGGGTGCCCAAACTTTTGCATACGACTGCGTATATTAGCAGATACGCCGTCAGTGCGACACAAATGGCCCCCAGTCATGGAATCACCCTCTTCAGATGCTAAAACAGAAGGACTTTTTTAACCTGTTCTGCTTTTTGCTCATTAGTTGAAGTTATTGGCTGGCGACAGAATGTGAATGTCAATAAAGGGTATTGATTACGGCCCCTTTAACCCTCACCGAGCACACAGACACACACAAACAGACCCACAGCACAGGGTTTGGTCAGTTGTTCACAATTAGCTGTTACTAAACAGAGCGGCGGCTCATGAGTGCCGTCCTGCGTACGGGAGCGCTGGAGCCGAGAGGCCAGCGGAGTCGACACCGGGCTGTCAGGTCGCAGCTGTGAGGCGCCGACTCAGCATGTTTACTGTTCTGTGCTAACAGAGACTCACACTGACCAAACAAGCCTTCACCCCTCAGTCTCAGACACGCTCTGCAGCTCCACTTACAGTGACCACACACTCATTCCTTAACGACAAACTCCTCCTTTTCATTTGATAACAGGCCCCAATAAACAGCATCTTAATTGTTATCTGATAGTTTGTTAATGACTTTTAATTATATAATAAAACTGCATCTACATTAATAACTGGAACCATTTGAATTATTGACCGTTTACTTCATCACATTTGAGTAATCAGTGATTATTTTGCACTGTAGAAAATCATTAATCACACTCACTTTAAAAAGATGGTTCTCCAAGGGTTCTTTAATAAGGAACATAGTTATATATAGAACCATGAAAACAAGTGATTAAAGGGTTCTTTGCTCTGTGAAAGAGTTCATATTGATGTGTTGTAGATGGTAATATAGGGCCATTTCCTTTACTAGAGAACTTATTGTGACAGTGTCAAGCTTATAACAATAGCAGAACCCTTTCTGGTGCTATGTAGAACCCTTTTCAAAAAGGTGCTGTATTGGACCATCTACAGCACATTCTTCATAAATCTATAGAACGCTTTAATCATGCAAGTAGTTCTTTAAATGGTTCATTGTTCTACATAGAAACATGTTCTTCTCGAAAGAACCCTTGAAGAACCATCTATTTAGGTGTGTAGCCTTGATAGCCACTATGAATAACTACACTCTTGAAAAAGACGGCTCTTCAAGGGTTCTTTAGTAAAGGCAGTGGTCCTATTTAGAACCATGAACACTCAAATAACTTCTTTCTGTGGTGAAGTTGTTCATCAGATTAATATAGAATGTGTTGTATATGGTTCTGTATAGAACCTTTTTGAAAAGGGTTCTATATAGCACCAAAAAGGGTTCTGGACTGTACACAAGCTTGACACTGTAACAACAGCAGAACCCTTTTCGGTGCTACCGGACCATTTCACCATGCAAAGAACCATTTAAGCATGCAAGTGTTTTTTTGAGTGTTCATGGCTCTAAGCGGAACCTTTGTCTTTACTAAAGAACCCTTGAAGAACCATCTTATGTAAGGGTATGCTTAGTAATCGTCTGTACTGTTTAAACGATTAAGTAGTTATTTGCTATCTTTATTTGTGATGCATGAACTTTTACGTAATGTTTAGTCATTATTATGTGGTTATTATATATTATTTAAACAGTAATTATCATGAATTGGACCTGTTATAAAGCTGGAACTTTGTACTAATAGAGATATATCTTTATATGTCCTTACAGTGCTTTAATTATTTGTACATTACCAAAATTGTAGCACTTATTTACCCAATCAGCCTGATGGTAACAGGCCCAAAAAAAGTAAGCCACTCATTTAAATCTTCCGCCAGAGGAGTTACAGTAAGATGTGCTCGTCATTGTTGGCAACAGAGAATCATTTAGTTAATTTCAGGGTGTAGAACTTGAGCTTTCCTATCACTGCATAAAAGATGTCCGTGGCTTCCTTTGTTGTTTAATGCACCGTGAGCTCATTCAGGCCTCATTTGTTTTTGTTTAATTAGAGTAACGGCAAAGTGCGACTGATGTCTGACTTAGGTTACGTTCACACAGCAGGTAAAAGTGGCCCAAATCTGATTTTCTCACCAAATCTGATTTTTTTGTTTGGCTGTTGACATTATCTTTGTATGCGACATCAGTCTGAACAGATCAGCTCCTAAACTGACCCTCATGTGTAAAAGATCAGAGCGTCACGCTGCTTCACGGCTCATCCAGAGGTCAACAATCATGACCGCCAACGAACGCCAGTCGCTCCCGGAGGATCAGCTTCATCTTCACCAGCATCACAGGAGCCATCATGAAGCTTCACTGACTGACAGCTGGGCTCATCACCCAGAATGTGTTGGAGCTGTAAAAAGGGCGCGGTCACTTCTTTGGTTCGCGTCCTCGGATTCTTTAAACTCTGCTTTCAGACTTTTAACTGTTCTTTGACGCTGCAGCCTCGTTCTCCTGCGGCCGCGTTCGGACATTTCTTTAGAAACCTCTTCAAACACGGAGGGTTTTGATGAGTCTCTTCTAATTTTTTGTACAGAAACATCAGCCTAAATGTTTATGAGTCTCAGCAGCGCGAAATGATGACGAATGTCGAGTTGGATTGACGCAAAAGTCGCATAAATTCCAATCTGGCTGTTCAGACTGATCAGATTTCAGTACCACATATGAAAGCGTCTCAAATCAGAATTGAAAATGTCAGATTCAGTGTGTTTATCTGTTCACACTAACACACAGACACACATCTGTGTCACATGTGAAGAAAAAGATCAGATTTGGGCCACTTTTACCTACTTTTTCCTACCTGTGTGAACAAAGCCTTCCTATTAATTCCTATCAATGGTTTGTTTGTTCTAAAGCTAAACAAAAATTGAAAAAAAAATTGGAGAAGTACAGTAACGTCAGATAATAGATGCCTGTTTTGGCTCACATCTTACTGAGTGATGGGGGAGAGGGAGGACCACCTTTCACACCCAGAGAGAGAGGAGAGACGCAGATGGTTGTGGCATCACCAGAGATTGACTCTCCTGGTGTTGGGGGCGAAGTTAAGACGGTTGAGCCACTCAGGAGCCTCGAAATAGCATATTAATGGAAAATAGGAGACAAAAAATGGGCGTCACACTGTGAAATGCAAGTGGACATATAACACTGTTAATATGATGTATGATGACGTGGTCACATTACAGAACCTCCTCACATAAATTACACTGAATTAGTTTCATCCGGGGAGGTGCTGTAATCTGAACGATTACCGACGAGATCCATGATTTTAATCCACTGTGAACCTACACTGTTTGTAGTTCACTGCAAAAAAATGTTTTTATTGTCTTAAAATGTTAAAATTGTCAATTAAATTGAAAATTTTAATTGACAAAATTGTTAAATCTAGTCAGTATGTCTAATATTCCTCATTTTAAGATTGTTGTAAGCTTATAATTGGATTATTTAACTTATTTCTAGACATTTTTTACTTGTTTAAAGTAATTTTATTAAGTAAAATTATTTCACCATATTGGCAGATCATTTTGCTAATTTTAAGAAAAATGCTGAAAACTAGAAAAATTATCTGCCAATATAGTAAGATAATTTTACTTCATTAAATTGCTTTAAACAGGTAAAAAAAAACATCTAATAATAAGTTTTATAAAATTATAATGTTCATACAACCATCTCAGCTGTGTCTGATCCACTCAGACCAGCACAACACTCACTAACACACCACCACCACGTCAGTGTTACTACAGTGCTGAGAATGACCCACCACCCAAATAGTACCTGCTCTGTGAGGGTCCATGGGGGTCCTGACCACTGAAGAACAGGGTAAAAGGGGGCTAACAAAGTATCAGAGAAACAGATGGACTACAGTCTGTAACTGTAGAACTACA